GCATTGTCGTATGCTGTAGTCCACGTAATAATATGGGGATTTAAATCTTCACTTTACTGATTTTGAAATTGTTCACAAAATACAGAAAGTTTAAAATTTTAATCAATTTTCACGAAAACTACCGTCACAAAAAAATTTTTATCTGCGTAACTATTGAATATATCAATCTCGATTTTTTTTTCATTTTATCTGTAATGTCATTTTTGCAGTATTAAAAGTATTAAAAATTACATTCATTTTGCAAATTAAAAGAAACTGAAAAGTAAATAAGAAAGACTTAAACGTAGCAAAGTAGAGAAATTCGCACGCTTTACGATGCTATGAAATGAAGCTAATATTAAATTTTTTCTGGCTTCAACTATTTATGAAACTAAAACGGCACGAATACAATTTATTAATTTAATAATTAACCTGTAGTGTGTACAGATTATTTGTAGTGTGCCTATATATTGTTACGTCCGTTTCACATTCCCGCGACTACTTTCCATTCTCAGAGGAAAGAATGCAAACGAATAAATTTACTAAAGCAATCTAGCTAGCTCTCGAACGTTTGCCAAGCATTTCCAAACAGTACATTCGAGTGCCGCTCAGGTCTAGTGCGGCAAGATGAGTATGAATCAGGACGCGCCACTCGAAAACGCACAAATTCTCGATAGTCACGGTCATGACTTTCAGCTGTGATCAATGGACTGGAATGCTCTGATCGCGATAATACTTAGTTTTCACCACATATAAGCTGTAAATATATCAATTGTCATGGCTTAAGGTAAGTGAATCTACATCCTTGGCTCGGTGGACTGGTAAAAAAGACTTGGTGTTAGGTTTTCTGTAGAAACGGTTTATGGCACGATCGACGGGGGACGGTTATTTTTGAGTTGAGGATTTTCGTTTATTGCTTGCACGGGTCTAATTACATCCTGCGAGGGTCACTAGAATTGCTTTGCTAGATTTTCAATAGCCTACGAACATACCATAAACCACGAATTTCCGAACGGCACATCTGTATGTAACGGTCCGCTTGCCGATTAGTCACCCGGAGGAAATTCCGGATTTTTGGGACCTTCTTTTGGGACCTAAGGGCGCACTGGAAGGGCGGCAAAGACGATATTAGACACGCTGATTGGCAAATGCAATCGTTAACCATTAACCAATCAGCGTGTCCCAACAAATTCCCTCTCACGGACGTCCGAGACGCGACGTCGGAGAGTCGGTCGTCGAGTAGTCGTAGAACCACCACAAGGAGAACCAAGGAGCAACCAGCTCACATCACGCGATACCATAGATCAGTTTTTACAAGTCCCAATCATTTGGGTGGGGTCCTTCGAACCAGTATCTAGACGGCACAACATCGTGCAAACATCTACAAAGCTCGAAAGTTCATCGCCACAACCACGAGCATTAACACTTGGCACAAAATTATTTATAACACTGAAAATCACAGTTAAATTCTTTTTACATCAACGCACTCTGCTCGACAAGAAGGAAAAGGTTTGAAAGGAGTCAAACATAGTTTTCGAAATAAACGAGTTACATTCGGACTCCAAAGAAGGGATCGAACTGTGATGCCCGGTTTGCTCCAATTCCTCGGAACTAGGAGCAGATATTGGGGTATCACTAAATTAAAACACTTCAGGATCGTCGTTGCGTAGAAACAGAACTTTATTTAACAGAGATTTTGACGTTACGTGACGTGCGCGTGGTAGAGTGGAGAATGAATGCGGAAATGGAGAAAATAAGGCTATTTAAGGGTTCCGGGAAGATGAACTTTGGGTTGTGACTATGCAGGAGAGTTGGAAGGTGAAGAGTCCAGTATGAGTAATGGTGAAAGTGGGTGACTAGTTGTGAATACAGATAAAACTAAGGACTAAGAATGAAAATATTTGAGGGTGTAACAGAACGAAGTTAACTGTTCATCAATTGGTACATTTTGATATGGAACCAACCTATTTGATTATTCTACCAAACCATTGTCCAATATTAATTTGGCGGGCAACAGTTGTGATAAAGCTATGTAGTCTTATTGCTATACATAGTCACTTGCGCCTTACAATTTCAAGAAGGAATAATTCGTTCGGTTGAATCGTGGTTATACATATATATGAGCCACTCAGAAGCCAGAATGATTACCTCCACTTTTTGATATTCCTCCAATTTTAGTATCAAAGCACATGCTTGGTGCTTAATTTTTTCATAAATACAACAAATTTAATAAATTTGATTTTATGGAGTTAGTCACTTCGGTTTTCGAGTGGATCATATGTGTGTACACACAACGATACATAGCAATACATTCTACTGAATGTATGTAGTTTTTGCTGCAAGATTTGGAGCATATACGTTTCATCATATTTTTGGCACATGTATCGTTAGCTACCATTAATTCGAGAAATAATGTGATCGTACGCTGCTACATTCGACCATATCTTTTAAATTAATTTTCGACCTGGATCATTATAGAAGAATTTCCTTTCTCAACAAGAAAATGACTAGGAAAAAATATCATTTTTATCTTCAGAGAACAACCAATTACATTTGAATTAAAACAAGAAGAAAATTCGGACTTTCAAAATTATTACAACTTTGAAAAAGCAATCGAAAAAGATAGATGAAATAGTTAATCATTTTGTGACCTGTCGTCTGGTTATTTTCTATTAATTTTACTTACCTATATAAGCTTGAGATCTGTCTATTGTTATGAATATGTTATTTTAAAAATTTCAGTTCAACATACGTATTTCATTTACTAATTTCGTTCCAATTGTATCTCTCGGCTTTTGTATCAAGACTTGGAAGATATTTAGAATAAATTCACATCATTCTATTACATAACGTGCTCCGCATATATTAGAAAATTCATCAATCACTAGTTTAACGATTGAAAGTTGATATTATTGCAGAAAGAAGAATTCTTGAACAGATGATTTAATGTAAAGCGTCACAAAATCGTCACGTAAAACGTCATTTGCTTATTATTTGTGTTTTAATAGTAGCAGCTATGTGATTAATATGATTTTGAAATAGCACTGACTTTTGAGTCTTTTTGCTTGGAAATTAGTAAACGTATTTGTTAATTGGTAAATATTCTATTATTACAAACCGGTTCTATAGTTTTTTGATCATTGCAATTATTTTTCTTAAAAATTAAGTAATACTTATAATTTTCACGCTATATTTATTTAATTATAATATTACAAATATGATGAGCGTTATCAAATACAAGAATCATGGAACGCGTGTCTTTCATTTGTAATTACCTATGATGCAGTAAATTCTTCTTCATCATTTATGGGCACATTGTTCAAGGTATCTCAAGTATTGTGTGGTATATAAATGAGAACTTCACAATAACGAACTTAAAACGAGTAACTTTTCTCTGGAAACTTTTCCATTATACAAGATATTGTAACAACCAGCAACGAAGACGGCGGAAAAATTTCCATTCCGCGAAAGGAAGTGAGAGGGACGACTCTCTATCCTCGTCGTCAATAGAATAATCGCGAAACGATAGAAGCTTCTACAAGAAACTAGCTTGCGATCCGCGGTAGAGTCGCGGTTTTACGCGGGAGATTCGCGGTTTCGCGAGGTATTACCATCGGTCGCCCTTCAGAGTAGGAGAGTACGAAGCCTAGCTTTCGGACGCCTTTACAGCACAGGAGAGTACGGGGACTGACACCTGGGTCACTCTCTGGAGGAGAGAACGGCTGGACTATCCGCCGGTCGCCTCTGAGAGAGGAGAGTACAGGGAGGTCACCCGGACGCCTGAGGAAGCTCGGAGAGGATTACTTAGTACTTCTGTTGGTATGGAGAGAACGGCTGGAATATCCGCCGGTCGCCTTCCAAAGAGTAGAGTACAGGAGGCTCATCGGACGCCTTCCCGCAATAATTGTTATAATTCACTTCACGCGTATTACATAATATTGTGATAGGAGAGCACGAGAGCTATACCTGGGTCGCTCCTGGAATGGAGAGAACGTCTGGACTATCCGCCGGTCGCCTTCCAAAGAGTAGAGTACAGGAGGTTCATCGGACGCCTTCCCACAATAATTGTTATAATTCACTTCACGCGTATTACATAATATTGTGATTGGAGGGTACGAGAGCTATACCTGTGTCGCTCCTGGAATGGAAAGAACGGCAGGACGTTCCGCCGCACACCTCCAGAGAGTAGAGTACAGGAGGCTCATCGGACGACTTCCCACAATAATTGTTATGAATCGTTTTATCCGTTTCGTTCATATTGTAACGGGAGAGTACGGCTGTTTAAAGCCGGACGCCCGAAAGCGAAAGCAACAGCTCGAACTCTACATTGACTTGTTCAAAATTATTCTGTATCAAATATTTAACATGTACCGACGAAAAGTAAATAAACATTTGTGTATTTTTCCCAGATACCAAAGAATATGCTATCAATCCATAAATCCTACTACATAGGGAATATTTTTAAAGCCGAAATAAGAACGGCTGGACTATCCGCCGGACGCCTTCCAGAGAGTAGAGTACAGGAGGCTCACCGGACGCCTTCCCACAGTAATTGTTATAAATCGTTTTATCCGTTTCGTTAATATTGTAACGGGAGAGTACGGCTGCTTAAAGCCGGACGCCCGAAAGCAAAAGCAACAGCTCGAACACTGCATTGATTTGTTCGAAATTATTTTGTACCAGACATTTAACATGTATCGACGAAAGATAAATAAACTTTTGTGTGTTTTTCCCAGATACCAAAGAATATCCTACCATTCCGTATATCCTACTACAATATTACTTTTTATGAAAGTTCTCTAGAAGGTTTCATGAAAGTTTTTTTTTTTATTTTGGATAAAAATGACAATAAAGGTTGCAGCACAATGGACCACTAAGTTGGCCGTGCTTATTATCTTTATTCACTAAATACCTTTATGAATGTATCCATTTATAAATTTTTTCTTTGACAGTCGTATACATAACTTCATTAGGAAATTAAAAAAAGGGAAACAGTGAATTTTAATTTGAATTGCACTCACCTCTTCGTGTTCTTTATGAAAGCGCTCCTTCTTCCTTAGTGCCTCTTGAACTTTCAACTAAAAATACAAAGCAATAAAGGTACGTGTATATATTGTATTGAACAATAATCTGAATGTTGATATCAAAGGATGTGTTAAAAGTTGAAAAAAAAATGAATTTCAAGGAAAATAAAAGATCCTTATGCTTTAAAATGATTTATTCCTTTCAGTAAATAAAATTACAGTTCATAATAGAAAGAGCAAGATAAAGAAAAGAAAATAACAAAAATGTGTTCAAATGCCAAGCTATGGTTACGGAAAACATTGGTAATTGTTTTTATACTGTAATAAAAATCTATAACAAAACTCGGTAATGCCTTATGAGATGAATGTTTTTAAACATTGATGGAATTGTTTGTTTGAGTGCACATAAAATGAATTCTCATAAATCACATTAACGAAAATATATCGAATAGAATTAACAAAACTTCTTAATTTATCTTAATCTTAAAGAATGATAAAATTTTAGCACAGTTATTTTAAAGAATTAAATTAAACAAAGAAAAAATATACGTAGCAAATAATAATTAAAAATTGAATAAAATTCGTAGAAATTTCAAGACGATCGAATACAATAAATATCTATACTCTACGCATTTAGTGGCTGTAAGTAATACGACTGCGAATTGTCTGTACACGTACAGAGTGAACCGCATAACATCACAGTCTTCATTATCTTCGTTGCAAGTGGACTGATCAAAATTATTGTTTCTATAGGTGATGCAGTTTTGAAGGACCAAGGTGACAGCATTAGATTTTTCTGTTTTTTTTTTTTTTAATAAGTATTCAAAGTTACTCTTAATTTTTCATGTATACTCCTGCAGTTTACATTGCCTAACAGCTAGCAAATACATATTGGGAAAAATTCAACGAGCTTAATAAAAATATTTTCTTTTTGCCTAATGGAATGATACGGTGAAAAAAATAGTGAAAAGTGATCCTTTCGGAGCTGAATATGCCATGTATCTAATCTTAAGCTTCGAACCTACTCAAATTCAGAATATGCATATATATATTCAAAATTCCAGCATTTGTGTAGACAACGACGAAATTAATGCATTCGAATACTCTTGGTATAATACAAACTGACATAATATAATGGAACCAAAAAATGTAAATACACTCGCTTAGTAGTTACGCTGACAGCTTCAATTTTTGAGTAATCATATTTTAGGTGAACTCTCTTTGATTTCAACTTTTGTGTTTGTCTATTGTCGTTTATTGTTTCCGGCGCATCGATAATGTATCAGTATTAAATGAAAAGTTAAATTTTCAGAAACCGCGGTTGCCTTGAGCGTTTAAGCAACGGTCGTTGCGATAAATGTTGTGGCTGCAGTCATACGAGCGTTACTTTTATCGTCCAAGACTGAGTGAGAAAAGTTTCTCACATGAATAAACGGTAGGATAATATAAAAGTTACAATTTTTGCTTAGAGATACTGCATTGAGAATGCAAAAAGGAAAAATTTGCAAGGAAATATTAGGTACGCAAGGTACACTATTACAGGGTGTACTTTACATGCTTTACAGTCAACTTCGAACTGATGAAGGACAGTCATACTTACACATACTCATGCTTATTTTTACACTTACGATTTGCAACATCCCATGAAATAAAATGTTTTTCAACTTCAGGTATTAAAATTGCAATGCTGATTATACTGAGATTCGGTATCATATTTGGACCTAGGCTTGAACGTTTCTTCTCTGCGTCTTTGCTTGCGTATTTAGGTCAAAATATGATACAATGTCGAGAAACTCAAGTTAAAATATCTTTTGAACTAATCATTTTGCGAGCCAAGTATACCAACACTTTTTTGTAGAGAATTAAAAAATACATCGAATGGTGTATAAAAGAATATATAGTTCCATTTAAGAAAACGGGCGACCTTGAAATCTTTGAAACGCCTCCACCTTCGGAGAAGATACATGCACCACGTGAATTTTTGCTAACGAAATTGTTTTCCATCTTCTACCGTTTTAACGCTACGGCTTGGCCCAGTTGTGTGGGACACTCTGTATACAAGCAGGAGCCTTGGAGAGGACTAGTGAGAAAGGTCAATGTTCCGTCCCACTGGTGGTGGAGCATAGGAAGTACCGCCACCATATAATAGGTAATTTCTAGCTGTTGCGTCGTGAAGTTTGAACAAATATTATGCTCAACCGTCTTGGCACCTTTTATCTCTCGCTTATTCGATAGAGAGATTTTGATGCGGACGAATGGTAGTATTATGTTGACGACTGGTCGCGAACCACGAATACATACGTTTTTATTGTAAATGTACTAGATGCGTTAGATGTTGCAGACGATTCAGATATGGTTGTAAATGTTTTATGCGTTGCAGCCTGACTGCAGCCCGTTGCGTTTGAACTATTTCTTATTCTGTATGGAATTGTAAATTATGGATGGTAGCCAAGTGGACAAATCCAAAGGTGTTTTATTACTTGGGCAGTCCTCCATGTGCCACAAGCATACCGCCCATCCTGGAGTTTCCCAGTTGGCAAGGTGGTGGTATGACGTCGTAGTGGGGGAGTCGGACCCAAGGAGAGATCGAGAGATCGGTCTCAACGGGACTCAAGTGCTATGTGGCGTAGTGACTTCACGACACGTCAGTCGCCATTGAGTGTTTCCGCATGGACACCAGAAAAACGCATGTGGCATGCAGAGGCGCAGAACTTCTGCGTCCGTGAAACACTTTCTGGGTTTCAACTTTTGGGTATATGAACGAAGATGTAAGTGAATGAGGGTCCTTAGAAAAAAGAGGCACTCAAAAATAGCCTGGATGGGCGTTCGGGTCCTAAAGTCAAAATCTTAATACTGGTAAAATGCAGAAAACGAGAAAGTGAACAAGACTATGTATTTACAATAGACGATTTATAATGTAATTTATGTTTTCCCCATGAAAGAAAATAATTTAAAAAGATTGCATTTGTTGGACGATTAGTTCCACACGTGGAAGATACGGGCGTGAGCGTTAAGGGGTTAAGTGGATCTAACATATTAGAGCCATGTATTTCGGCTTACGCTGCCCAATATAATTTATATAAAAAAAGATATATATTTTATTAAATTCGTTCATTGTTCGTCTTAATGCCTGCTAGCTGATATGCAAACCAATCTATAGGGTTATATATAAAAAAGTTGAAGGTGAGCTTGAAAACTTACCTAAGAAAAAAAGCACAGAAAAAATCTAAATCCATCACCTTGATAAGGTCCTTTAAACCATCTATGACAACAAATTTTAAACGGTAGAGGACCGCAAGCGAAAGAATTCTTTTGGGGTTTCCGAATGCTTTTTATATTTCTTATTTATATCTTCTTGTGTACTAGTTGAATTAATGTCTTTCTTTTATATTTGCTATCAGTATTAGCACAAGAAAGAAACTGCCAGATGAAATAAATAACGAAGACATAGTGAACTTAATTAAAATTAAAGTATATTACGTATACAAAACTTAAGTAGCAAAAATTAAGAAGCTAAAGAGTGAAGAAGTCTAAAAACATAGTGAAAAAGCTAGTATGGCTCAAAACTGGACCAATGTAATGCAAGATTAATAATATGTATGTAAGTTAAATTAATAATAATATTTACTAAAAATGCTCTAACATTTCGTATGTTTTTCCCTTATTTATGTTCCTGTCTTCATAGTTATATTATCTTTTAATATTTATTGAGTCATGAAAATCATACCCTATGTATGGTCTCTTCAAAGCTGTTTGGCTGACCACCGTTCATTTGTAGATATCTTAATCGATCGTAATCTCTTGGATCCACCATAGAACGTAGAATTGTATGTCCCATATCTGGTCCCAAACCCAATCCACTCTGTAGCACACTGTCTGGTGTATCCACCTGTTATTAACAAACAGAAGAGTATAAAATTATTTAAAGTTCATCTAATAACATTTCTTTTGCATTCATTATCATTTTATTTTTTCTTAAATAAGGATTGTTTAATTTATTTTAAATAAACAAGAAACAGCAAGAGTCGCATGTTATTAATTACAATTACATTCGATGCTTCCATAGAAAATATTCTCTTATCAAAATCTTGGCAGAAAGAGCAGTATTTTATATTTTATCTACAACTTTTTCTTTTAACAGGGGG